GAAATAAGGATGTTTTCAAGGATTAAGTGGACAGTCCAAAGAAGGTAATGCAGCTAGTTAAATTTGTGCATATAGTTGGATTAAAGTCCATCTGTATCCTGATATTTCTCAATAGCTGTGGGGTTAATTCCCTAAGGGCAGCATTATTGGATTAGGCTTCAGGATTCTTATATTAGACTTTTCATGGATTAGGCTATCCCTGGAAGTGTATGGGAAGGATTTTACAGCTTTTCAAAGCCTGCTTTTGTAATATAATTGTTTGATGTAAATGTAATAGACTGGAGTACTCTATATATGCACTCAATTTTAATAAATATAGTTTTATTTGATGATTAAAAAAAATGAAGAAAACAAGGCAAAAATCTTTAAATGTTTTGTAGCAACATATCAGCGCTACACACCTACTTCTTAACCAAAAAAAAAAAAAAAAAACTCATCCCCACAAGTCCGATAAGGTGGCTTTATTGAACCTTATTTATTTTTTCTGAAAACTACCAAAAGTGCCAACTTTGACTTTTAGAAACTGCCACAACTCTTGATCGACAACAATAGCTAGGACAAAATTTTTTTATATAATTTTAAATGTTATTTAAATGATTAGTTTTTTTCATTCATTTAAAACTTATAATATTAAATGTATTTATTCATTTAATGAACTTATGCCTTTGTGTTAGGTTCAGGAAATACCTTTGCTGTAACTAGCTCCCACAACACAATAGCAAAACTGAAAACATCTGCTTTCTGATCATATTGTTGATGGTTTATAACCTAGTGGGATAAAACCAAAAGTAACAATGAATACAATGTGAGAAGTGAATCTCATAATGGTTAACAAATATTGTACGTGAAAATCAAATTAAGACCAAAACTTGGTCTTCTTTGCAGCAAATAGATGGTAAAGGAAAATCATCCACAGAACAATAAAAATGAAAGTAATGTTGACAAGAAAAGGATGAATCATTAAAAGGTATACTTTTCTTGAGCATTAACTAAGGCCCTAATATTCAACAAGTAACCTCATAAACTGGGATGGAACTTGAGATTCAAACCTCAGGTGCCATCCATCTGTACGTCCCAGTTTCTGCAGTCATTACTCCCCCTTGGTTCTGGAACCGAGCAACACCAAAATCTGCCACCTTAACAACCTTCAAAAAAAAATACACAGTTCTCAGCCCTTGCAATAGAAAATATTATTCTCTTTAAACTGTGATGTATACAATCCACAGCCAATGCAAATTTACATGGTTAATCAATTCCTATAGACTGAAGCAGTTAAAAGTTTAATGTTGAAAAACCCAGTTCTTTTGAAGCTTTATGCTTTTCTGAACCAAGCGCTGAGGCTTAGGTTGTGGTTTATGAGTATAACTTTTTTCTGATCAGCAAGTTTATGAGTACAACTTGATAATCTATTCAGGGTACAACACCAAGAATAATTTTATTATTGCAAAATTGGATAAACTAAACCCTTGTC